AAGAAATATGATCTTGCAAACCTGAGAGAGGTAGAATGGCATTCTAAGAGCCTCTTGGGAGTTCATGGCTTCATAGGGGTGGATATTTTGTACTTTTGCCTTTGGCATTTTAGTTATTTATCTGTTGGCCCAGGAGGGACCAGGTAAAGAAGAAGAGGCAGAAAGACTGGAGACAGAGCAATGTGTTTAAGCCCAGAGACAAGTCAGTGTACAGCTTCATCTAGAGCATGGTCCTAGTCCAGTTGATGGATTTGAGAGATCCTCACTCCTGCTTTACTCCTGGCTATGCAGCAGGGCATAGTGGGGAAAAAAAGTCTCTAAACAGAAATTTACTATTAATTTCTATTAAAAATATGCAGAGCCTTTTGTTTGTCGTGACAAATCACAAAGTTCTGAAGACTGTTTTGTTGGATGAACTTATATGAGTTGTACAGTTTAGCATGAAGCAGCTACTTCAGTTCACTGATTTACGTCCAAAGGTAATAAAAATAAAAACATCTCAGTAAGTGCTAGAATAAAAAGAAGTGTAGAACACTAATTTTTAGAGCAAGAATCTATAATGTGTTATAGTAAATAGTGTTTCATTTGTATTTTTAGTAATCTGAGATATATTAATTGCTCAGCTGTTTATATTAGCTGCAGCACATAAGTTCTTACCACTTATGGCTTTGCCTACATGGAATGCTTTCTGAATTTTGCTGTTTGCATATAGGGTGTCAGTTAATGAGACATCAATTTAAGTAAACCATTCTGCTTCTTCTGTCGTCTAGACTTGCTCAAGTCTTACTTTTAATTTGCAGTAATTGCCCAGATGTGGATGCATATCCTAGAGAGTGCAAATAATGCTGGGATTTCCAAGCTAGAAGTAGTTCCTACTTCTGAGATGTAATTTGCATCTGGTCCTTAGATTTCTAAGGTGTTCATTCCTAATGAAGTAAATTCTGTCTATAAAAGAAATATAATTGTTTTCTAATGTGATGGTTAAAGGAAGTTTGGTTTTATATTTAAAATATGGAAATTTTCTTTCAAGTTAGGTCGAAACCTCAGGCTATTGACATTTTAGTAATGCAAACTTTTGTGTCATGAAATTGAGGACATAGCTTTATGATCATCAGGAGTAGTTTGTGTTTTCATTAAGTACTATGAAATACAAAAGCTAATAGGGTTTTCATTTTAAATCATAGTATGGTAAAGCTGAGTAGCTTATTAACAGAATTTAGTGGGTCAATGCAGAAATGAAAAGTAAGTGAATTTCAAAAACTATTAATAAGGAACAGCTTGGTATACTCTAAGCATTATAGTAGCCTTATGTTTGAGTAACTGTAGAATAATAAGAGTTTAAAACAAACATTTTTGAAGGACAGTACAGAACAGATTGTTGTCAGATTAAATAATGACTCTGATGCCCTGAGGTGTTAGGGTTACAGGATTCTCGAGAGCTTTTTCTTTTCGCTGCATTCTTCTTATTTTAATACTTAATGTTGGAGAAAAATAAAAATATACAACTATTCATTTTCTTTTTCTGCTTTGCCTCTCGAGTTCTATGCTATTTTGTATTAATTATGTTTGGATAGTTCAGTCTTGTATAAGCAAGAATTTGCCTTTGAAACTTCAAAGAGTTCTTGTTTCATCTTCCACGGAACGTTCAAGTGTTACAGGGTATGAGAGACTTAAGTTCCTGCTCTGGAGTCCCTAAATTGCTCCTTGTTGTGGATGTATTAATTGTAGCCTCCCTCTCTAATGTGAACAGCCTTTTCATTTTCCCTTGTTTCTTCAATAACGCCTGGACATGAGTTCAATGCAGTTGTAGGGGAAACAGTGCCACCCGTTGGATTATCCGTTTGTTACATGGGCTGGTCCTGGAAAGTGAGGTGATCCCCTTTACAGTTACCATGGCTTAAATCAGAGTGTTTTCTCAAGGCCTGTACTTCCCTGCAGTATTATTATGTTGCTACCTTATCAAAATGCCTTTTTTTTTTTGTATTTGTTATGGATGCATAAATTTTGATTGCAGTCAAAGCTCTTCTGGAGCATCTTGCTCTCAGAAAAAATATTTTAATTTTCCTTAAGTGGATTTTATCTGCAGTTGCTCTGACTCTTGCCTCAAAAAGGCATTTTACGCTTTTGTTGAAATCTGTGGCTGGATTTTTATTTTTTTTTAATGAAAGATTTCATTAATTATTTAGAGTTATGCAGCAACTATTCCATGTATTTCCCCCCTCTTGACTTCAATCAGATTGGTGTTTATTTTTAATTTGATACTAAGTGCTCAGCCAGTATAGCTGTTAGCATATGACTTCCCAATTCTCAATCTTAAACAAACAGTAAGTTATTGTAAATTAAAAGATTGTTTCCTTCCAGACAGAGAAAAGTTATAATAAACAGAGCAAGGAAGCTTCTCGCTATGGCCTAGTTAACAAAAAAAGGCAGTAATTCACATACATATATGCTATTTCTACCCTTAAGTTCTAGTTGCAGTAAATTTGGGGTATTAGTCTCTTTCTATCCATAACACTCCAAGCATAGCAAGGTCCCTAAAATAGCTGTTATCTCCCATGGCAATCTAGTGAAGATTAGAACAAAGTCAATAAGTATTGCCCAGGGTCTGAATAACCAGGTTGCATTAAGGTTTATTTAGGTGGGAATGCAGCAAAAAAAATTACATCTGAGACTCTTTCATGCAGCATAGAAGAGTGTTTTGGTTTTTAGTTTGCTTTATCTATCTATCTATTTCTTTATTTAATATAACTCTAATCTGATTAGTTCAGGCTCTGTTTTCCTACACGTTTGGATTCAAGTTCAGCTGAATACCTCTGTCACTTAGCAAAAGAAAAATGAGTTTCTCTGCTCGCAGGATAAAAAAATGGAGTTTAAGATTCCATTATCTTCTGATGCACTTTCTGTGATTCTTGGGGACATTGTGAATTATAATGTTAGGCATGTGTTTTAAGGCACTAGAAGAGAAAATAAACCTTGATTTAAAATCAAGTATGTGTATTACAGTAGGGAAATGTTGTAGTTTTGCATACATGTCTCAGTTTTGGTGTAGAATGGGATTCTGGAGCTGTTTGCAAAATACAGATATTTTCCTTTTTGGTGGCAGTTATATGAACTTTCGTAGAACATTTAAATTCCTTACGTGTTTTGGAATGTCTTACTCAGAAGCTCTATACCATTATTTAAGCAGAACAGTGATGATTAATAAGGGATTGGAGATAACTGAAATGCAAGGTTGGTGTACAGTTATGCTGGGTTTGTTCTAGAGGATTCCTTTGGCTAGGAGGCAATGATTGAATGTTAAACTTAAGATTTGCTAAGTGAAAAGGAAAATAGAAGTCCTTATATACTTTGTAAAACTTGAAAGGGTGAGAAAAGTGTTTATAGAGTCCCAAATGGATTATAAGTTTAGTTTCTCAAAATTCATTTTCAGCATTAAGTGATCATTTCAGCATTCTGCAGCCCAAAACTCCTGCCATAGAGTAAATCTCTTTTGTATTTTGTTGTTTTGAGGCTTGTTTTGTGTTTTGTTTGTTTTTTGTTTTGGTTTTTTTTTTTTTGCTGTTATTTGTAGTTTGTTTGCTTTGGGTTTCTTTCTTTTTTAGTCTGTTTTTGGGTTTGCTTTTTAAGAGATACATATATTTAATAGTGGTTTTGAGGGTACTGTTAGTATAGAAATGATTCCACAGAATGTAGGCTAAAACATCACCATTAGTATTTGAATGTAAATCATTTAAGAGTGAATGAATAGCTGTATTTAAAAACTGGTTTGGTTCAAATTAAAATTTTCTTAAATTTTAGCCACTTCTGAGCTAAGAAGTTGTATTTTAACTGGCAGTTTGATGATTTGCATGTCCCCTTAGTTATATCTGAATGATCAAGTCTATGGATTTATTTTAAGGGACATTATTTCTAAGCAGCTTTTTGAGATGTTCCTGCCAGAAGACATATTTTGTTTCTGTAGACCAGCACATCACCTGAGTTTCAGGAGACATGATTTTCCATTTTTCCCTTCCTCAGTGCAGCAGACAGGAATCTTTGCTGATTTTTTCCAGAAGAGTCAAAAAATAGCTTATTTGTCTCACATTTTTAGATTCCAAATTGGCCTTTTTCAAGTGGTAGAAACCTAGAAATATTTTTCAAGTGGATGGCATTTTTCAAGAAGTAGAAACGTAGAGTGAGGGAATCAGAAATGTAAATCACAATGGGTACACAAGCTATCATTTTGGGAGCCTTTAGAACAGACAGTGTTATTGGTTTTATGTTCAGAAAAAAGAAATTAGAGACAGACAGAGATGTAATTAATCCAGTTTCTTCTGCATTAGCCAGAAAAGCAAGTTCTGTTTTGTTAATAAGGGCTAGATGCCAGACCTAACAAAATTATTTGGCTCAAAAACTTAACAGACTTAACGAGGGGAAAGGCTTGAATCTCTAAGGTACCCAGGGTATGTATTCCTTGGATCGTGACATTCTGCATCAAGCTATTGTTTTAACTTGTTTGAAAGTTCACTATAGTCTCAATAGACAAGAGTGCAGAATAAATACATATTTTTACATAGCTTTACAGTTTTCCTGTGGGTTTCATAGCCACACATGTAAATGGAAATTCAGTCTGATCTGTAATCACTCTTTGTTTATGTACCAGTGAGTAGTCCTGAAGGATAGGTCTGATAAAGCTATACTGTGATTTGAGTACTATGCATTAATATTGCATGCCATTTAAAATTTAAGAGTATAGTTTAGCAGAGGTTAGGATCTAGAACCTAATTCTGTACTGGATTTCCCTGAAATAGGATTTGTCTTGTATCTCTTTTTCAATGCAAGAAAGCATACTATGATAATATATAATGTTTGAAGTTCAAGTAGGAGTATTTTTCTAAAGAAAATGACAGCTGAAATAAAACAATACTACCTTATGATTTATTTTCCTTGTCTTTTTTTTTGTATGTAAAAGAAAAATATTTAACTCTGTTAAATAATTACTCTTTTCTTTTCTTTTTTAGGTTGTCTTAGTCTTCGCTCTTAGTATTGGTGCTCTTGTAATATACTTCATAGATTCATCAAAGTGAGTATTCTAGTACATTTTCCTTTCTCTCCTTTCCTGCAGCAATTATACATCTTTAAATTGCTCCATTCATCTTCTTCAAATCTGCTCATCGCCTGAGTGCAAAGAACTTTATAATAGCGCATGGTCTACAAAAATAACTCAAGAATGGGAAAAGGATCTTACATAAACTAGATTGAACACAGTCACATTGGATCTGTAGGATAAATAGAGAGAAAAGCTACTTTTGTGTGTTGAGATTATACATACTATTGCAAAATTACAATTTTTGTTTTCATTATGCAGGTGTAGAATCTTTCAAATTCAAGACTGGGATAGGATATACAGGCCAATAATATTTGTCAAAAAATTGCAGTTTACAGGAAGAAAAAGGTGTCTTAGGAGACTGACAGGAACAGTTCTGAAAACCTTTGAATTAATTAGACAGTACAGCATTATATGTTGCATATCTGTTCATATTTCCAGCTTCTGGGTTTGATAGATTTCTACCAAGATAACGTGAACCAGTAAAAGTCTTTGAAGCATCTCAATATTTTTTAGATTTACACCAATGTTATCTTCTAGTGTTGTAGTTTTGACCAGGCAATAGAAAGTTTCATCCTGACCTTTTGAGGTGATGGTTTGATACAAACTGGTGTAACTTGGAATATATTCTGATATTGTTTTCATATCAAACTGGTCACAGTGTTGTAAAAGGCAAATTGGTAGCCTAACACAGAAGAATAAAAGGGGACTTAAAAGAGCACTCTTCCTTGAATTCAAATTCTTTTTGGAGGATGATATTCAAAATATCAATAGCATTTTGAGGTTCTTTGACAACATGCTTAATGCTTTTCTCTGAACTAGTTTGAGGCTTGCCATTACTGCAATGGTTAAGGTTGTGATTGTATGCCTAAATCACTCCATGTGAGCCCACCTAGCTGTCTGTAATGGTAGTGGCCGTGTTCTAAAACAATTGTTCTGTGACTCAGAAAGTCAGACATACCACTGTTGACATCTGTACATACTGATATTTAGGAAGGTGTTAGCACCAGCAAAAGATATTCTTGGATACATGGATGTCAGCTCTGTATTTTGTGAGTTTGAAGCCGTCAGTGTGTCAAGCATAACCCAAATAACTAAGGTAGAGATGTTCTTTACAGAGACGAGCCAAGTGGTGGGAAAACTCAAGTTCTATCTTGAGCTCTCTTGAAGAGAGAAAAATTTTTTTTCTTCTTAGCATTGCAATGAGTTTTCATTAATTTTTGAAATTTAATTTGTCACCAGTGAAGTACATAAGGTGGTACTTTTCTGAAGATCTTTTGTAAAACTTCTAAAAGCCCAGTGGCAAAGCTTCTGGATGCTTATATGTCCAGGTCAAAAGTGTAAAATAGAATAAAACCCATTTCCACTTATGTTCCAATTTTGAATCAACAAAAGCTACAGCTATGTGTCGGAGCAATTTTGTGAAACTATTGGATTATCTGATGAATTTTCGGCACTGCATTTTTGTAGTCTTTGATTGTTTTCCTCAAGAAGAGCAAAACTGACAACATGGGAGATGTCTCTAGGATGCTTTCTGTGGGCCACCTATTCCATATACTGCTACTGGCTTATTGGCTGCTTGATCAACAAGTGTTTTAACTGTGCATTTCTCTTGGTTTTCAGTCAACATTTAGCTCCTGCTGCAGTTCAAATTCAGCAACCTCAAGTTAATGTACTCTACTTGCATACTTTTTCTTTGGTTTTCTCCTTCTTTCTTCTCTCTTACCCTCCTTTATTTCCACATGTACATCTTGGTCTTTTTTTTTTTTTTTTAATGCTCATTAGTAGTTTAATTCATGTTAGAAACAACTCAGATATATTGCTTAAAGGAAAAATTCTGCTTTATTCTGTATTAGCATCTGATCTAACACCCATTTCAGCAATGTAGAATCAAATATAGTGATATATGAGTCAATTTCAGATCCACGAGTGCATGCTTGGAAAAGTTATTCCTTTGAAACTTTGGTTAAACGGGAACTAATGAAGGTAGGACGAGAGGAATGCTTGTGTTATCCTCAACAAAACAGCTGGGACAACAGAGACTACAGCTTGACCAGGAACAGAGCAGACAAATAGGATCTAATGCTCACACCAGACAGATGGTGACACATACCATTGTCTGCTTTCCCTTAACAATGCGTTCCATAGCTGTTGTGTTCTGCCCGTGCCATGGACTCTTAGCTGGTATTTGATCTTATATGTGCAGTGACAAAAACCGTGACTTCAATCCAAAGCTGAAGAGTACTAGTGTAAGGAGTTGTCTGAAAGAAATGCCACTTATTTATTCATCCATGATTCCTAATCTGTCACTAGATTTGCAGATGCAATGACAGGTGTGTCCACAAAGGAATCGTGCATGACTTCCTACTTAAGGGGCATGAAGAAAGATGGGAAAAACAACGTCATTTTCTTAGATACTGAAGGAAGGAGTGAAAAGATCACATAGTTTTGTCAGGCAAGCATGTGTGTCGTGATTAATTGTGGTGGAACACACCAGTATGAAGGCTGTCACAGCTGTGAGAAGAGTACCCTCTTCTCACAAAAAAAGCTAAGAGCATTTTTATACTACTCAGTTCATGACTCTAACAGACACTGCCAGACTAGTACCAGATGAAATGGCGTGCCCAGTGCAGTGCTATTTGGAGAGATCTGAGGTCAGAAAATAGCACAGCTTCATCAGCATCCTCCGTACCAGTTAGTCCTACATTTCAGCAGAGCCAGTTAAATAGCTTTGTGTTGCTATAGAATATGTGTGTACTAATTCTGTTTCTGGCACAAACTTAGGAATTCTGCACTATACTTCATTACAAAATATAAGCACAGTTGTGATCTGCTTTGGTCTGAACTGACTGAATTTCTTAGTAAGAAGCAGCTCTTAATTCACCTTTTGGGAAAGGTTCTAAACAAAATCACAAAAACAATCATTCTTGGTGGAAAGAATGAAGGTTACTAATTTTGAAAACTGTAGAGGTTCATCCAGTCCTTTTGTTAAGATTATTCTTAATATTATTCAGTGCTCATACTTTTTACAAGAAACCACTTTGAATTGTTGTCTCCACAAGGTGTATGTAGAATATTTTTCTTTAAACTGAATATGTACACTTTCAGTGATGTGTTGTAGCAACTAATGGAAGATTTCAGTCCTTAAACTGAAAATTTATTTAGCAGAGAAATTACAATCTTGGCATTTCTGTCATGTAAGTTCAGTCACATCCTGTTAGGAAATGTTTCACTTATTACTATGGACTAGACTCTTTCCTTCCTTTATTTTTGGAATCTTATTCATAAAATGTTTTCTTGGTCAGTGGTATTTTTCAATATTAGGAATAGCAGATAAATATGAAACATTTGCAAAAGAGATTTTATAAATACTATCCACATAATTATTTTAATCTTTAGGTAACAAATAACCAAATAATTACATTTTATTTTTAGAGATTTTTTTTCACTTTGATGTCTATCTTCCATTTTTGGTTTGAATAACAGCACAACATTCAAAGAAGAGGTCATAAGCAGATCTACTTCAGTACAGAATAACGTCATTATTGTAATGATGGTTCTTTTCCTATTCATGTTTCCTTTAAAATTTGTCATCATTTAATTTTTCAAGGTAAGAAAATAGTGGAATTATCTTCTTATTAAGAGGAAAATCTGACTTTACACAGTTGTTGGGAGTCTACTGAATGTGCTGCAGTAGAATAAAGCTTGGTGTCTGCCAATGCTTTTTAATTTTATGTGCTTTTTTATATGTAGTTTTCACAAACTTCCTCCTTCCTTTGTTTATTTTTCCTTTCTATATTTCTGCATGTAAAAGGTGTTTTAGCAAATACATATAGAAGTACTTCTCTGAGTGTTATTTACATCAGTACTAGAGATGCATTGGATGCATTGCCCATTTTCATTTCCGTTTGTCATTCTGACCTCTGCATATTGTACTGGATTACTGACTTGACTAGAATAGAGAATAACATTTGCCATGATCATCTTTAGGCATGGTCAGTAAAAGCATTAGCAGAGAGCTTGAATTTCTGCTAAACTGGGAACTAAGGGCTCCTATTTTCTATTTCTTGTAATGGCAGTAGCATGGAAACTGTTTATGTTGTGAATATCCTTTTGTGCTCTGGTTCTGGATTCTCTTCTGGGGTGCAATATAATGTAATATGCAACTATAGATATAGACTTTTTCTTTTTTTTGCCTAACAGATTACTTTCTAATGACCAGTTGTTACTGTCCTGTCTCTTGAAGTTTACCTTCCCTTCCCTGAAAACTGATGTCAATGTAGAAATCATAGAACCCATCAATGACAAAGTGAAAAAAATGAAGTCTTACAACTGGCTTTGTATGTTCTACTCACATGTGTCTTTCAGATTAGCTTTTAGAGTTGTTTTTTTCAGAGCCACTAGCATAGTTATTCCTAAATAGCTATTTTTTTCCAATACTGTGTCACATTGTACTTTATTAGAATTGTACATAAAAATGCCATTTAGCCATGAGTATTAACAAATAGACTTGATGATCTAAAAGGTCTCTTCCAACCTACGTTATTCTGCCTACTTGCTTAGTAGTAATATCAGCTGAAAACACATCAGAGATTCTATACTAGAAGTTGCCTAACAAAAAAATACAACATGAAAAGTCTTGATTCGTTTTGAAGGATTCACGCTGGTTTCCTGACATTGTATGGTAATATATCAGGAAGGGTTCATTGGAAATAAATATTCTGTTTATAGACACACAGGAGTTTCCCGTGTGACAGCACAAGGAGAAAAGTCTCTTGGAATTTTTTACTAGCAAAAATATTTTTTACCTAAGCGACACTTTATTTCAGGTCCTTATGAACGCTGTTATTTTGTGGGAATATTTGAGGATAAGTTGTGACTGTGTACCATGTTTGGCTTTCCTGCTTGTTTGCTACTGCTGCCATGTTTGTCTTCTGAAAGACATTTGATTTTGTGCAGCAAAATGTTCTATAGAA